GGTTGCACTGGATTGTGTTAAGGGATGTCAGAGCAAAGGGAATTATTTCCAAAACCCTTGAAAACCATGAAAAATTTAAATTCCCCATATTTTATTTTTTTTTTTTTTTTTTTTTTTTTTAAACAAAAAGCATGGTAGTTTAGTTTCTGGTTGTTGCGTAAACAAGATGCAAAAAATGTTCAATATACATAAAAGACTTTTGCAAGTAAAGCCAGTTACCATCTGAACTTCTACGAGGCAGGATGTTTGCATGCGCCTCCTGACCAAACAAGCTTTAAAATAAGCCACGCTGTTCCCAAACACATACATCACCAAGCGCATCGTCAATCTAAAAAAAAAAACAAGCATTTCGTCTGCACCTTTCCTTTACTTTTTAGCAACTGCTTCAGTATAATCCTTCTATTGTATGTCTCATTAGTCACTCTATGTTCATTCAGGAAAACACAACAATGAAATGTAATGTTTTCTTTTGTTTTACGCTAATGCATCTTAAATTGGGTGTACTTCATTTGAGACACAAATAAGAGTATCTTAGAACTGGATATAGAGCCACTTAATTATGCTAAGTGACTGACCCTCGCATATTCAGTTTGGGCATTAAGGCACCGACGTGTTTCTGATGCTCCAAATAAATTACTTTCAGAAAACATTCTGAAACACCAACCAAGAAAACATATTTAGAGCAAATTGCTTGTCAAGAAGATAAATGCAGCAGAGAGTCAGTGCATGGTTATTTTCCTCTAACTTTTCCTGTGGCATCCACACACACGCACACACGCACACACGCACACACACAAAGGGTGCCAATTATAGTAACTGTATGATGAGGTTTCTTATACTGAGCCCCATGCTACCTTTGCCTCTAATCCTTTGTTATTAATTATATCTTCAACGAGCCTACACAGTTCTGGTGGTGTCAGCAGCGAGTATCCATGGGAACAGTAGGCTGGTCGCAGCGTGCAGCAGTGCACGCGCTCTGCAGCCTGACAGGCTTGATGCAGAGATGCTCCGCTGACTAGATGAGCAAGTCGGTAGCAGAAACTCGGAGAGAAAAACATGATGGAAAACAAGCCAGAAATCCAACGTCCTCATCATTCGATAGGTGTAGTTACTTAAAAAAAGGTCAGATTTGACAAGTTTCACACAACTGGATTAAATATGATGCATTACCTCAGTTTATGATAATGCTAAAGGATGCACCCAATCTTCATGTTTCTTACTACAGATGTCTTGCTGTTAGATGTCACACCTTTTCCACATTGTTGCACATTCTGTTAATAAAACTTGCAACAACAGCCTGTTCTGCATCTCATGAACTCCCTGAGGTGATATCACACATTTACAAACAAAAAATAAGCTAATAGCTACTATTTAAAAAGGAAAACTTCTGCACAAGGTTTTAACAGGGAAGATGCGAGAAATGTGTTTATTTATAAATACAAAATTAAACACGCATGCATAAAAGTGAGTGCAGGACTTCAAAGCACATGATGATAAAAAGAAAATACACTTATACATCCCAAGGTGTTTTCCTTCCCCCCCCTATTCATTTACCTGCAAATACTCACATACTAATCACCTGTATGTCACTGCTTTACTCTCAAATTGCAAAAATGAAATACTCCTTAACTGATCTTTACAATCATATTTCTAGTTACAAATAACTCACATCAAACATGGAGCCTAGAGCTAATCTCCAGATTCTCTTTCAGCAACCGAAGGACAGCTCATTAACTTCCAATTAGACCTTAATGTTCAGTGAGAAGAAGTTATTTGTGTTGTATTGCCCTTGCTGCACTTGGCAGGGATATTAATGAGGCAGCAAAATGAGCCTAGAAGGAGTTAGATTAAAACTGAAAAAAAAAGAAAGAAAATATTCCTCAAAGCATGCAAAAACTGTTAGAAGTGATTTTTGTGTTAATAGTTCCTTGCTGTAGTTCAGAAAATGCAAATATTCCTTGTGGGTTTTCTTCTTTTCTCTGTGTGATGCCTGTTAATTAAGCAGGAGCATCTCTTCACGGCTAATAAAATCACACACATACAACATGACAGTCTTCTGCAGCACAAGGTAAACAAAAGCATCAAGAATACAGATAAGATCAACTGCTCAAATGCATTGGAGAATACTGAATTGGATTATTTGAAATAAATTTATCAAGCAAATGACGTTCTGTCAAAGAGGAGGATGTGAGGGGGGAAACAAAAATGGGAGCAATTGCTGCTACCTAGTGCCATCTATTGGCGAGACGGCATAATACAACCAGATGAAGAAACTGTTTTGAAGTGAAGAAACTAATATTAGAGTTTTCTTTCTTCTCTTTTAAAACAATAAAGCTTTTTACGTTCCTGTCTCTGCAACACAGCATCATGATGCCACCTCCAGAATGAGTTCAATAATGTTAAAAAAGAACAATATTCCCCGGAGCATGCAATAACTGTTTCGTTTTTATTACTATTATTATCGTTTCCCTCTGGTTATCTAATAGTTGGCATTGCACATTGTTGAATTAGGTTACGTGTAGTATGTGACTAAAACAACGTGGGAGCAAAGATAAAAGTAGTCATACGGCGCCATCTACCGGTGAAATGACAAACAACCAGTTGTACCAAACCTGAGGACGTGAGATCAGAAGGAGTAAAAGTGGAGAGAACTGTAGCTACACACCGCCACCTACTGGTGAGTCAAGATACACACAACTAGTGGTAGGAATTTAGCTTTAAAACATTCAGATACATAGAAGCTGTTGATGTTTTCCTCAATGGGGGCACAGACACTTGAACCATTTTTTATAGATGATACAAAGTAGATTTAAACTATTTACATGTACTTTTTTTTTCTTCAAGCCACCAAACTTAAAAAAAACATCCCTAAAAGACAATGTCTAGCTGAACTTTTCTTTGAATAATGATGCTTCAAGACTATATGTTATATCTTGGGGTAAAAATAACCTATAAAGGTAGTACAAAAAATGTTTCGCTTTTTAATAGGATTATTACGTAAATTAAATGTGTCTTTCCTGTCTTTGGACTTCTCATTGTGCCATAACATATCGAGAAGACTCCTCCTTCCTGCAGCCAATATTTTTTTCTTCACTGATCCATTCTACTTAGATGAGTTTATGTCTTGTAAAACTCTTCAGAAAGCCTACTGGCAGCATTAAGCCAGGACAGGAAAAACAGTCAGGAGTCTCTTAAAGATTTCAGCTAAAACTTTCACTGCTTGCTTCCAATTTTCTATGTATAAGAGAGGAGAAAATGTCTAAGATTTGCTCCAAATTTGCTTTCTTATTTGCGGCAGCTTCAACTACAGTACGAGTATTTAAAACCTGTCATATAAGACAATATTTATATTAATTGTTTAGAATCTAATTACAATAAAAGTAAAGAAATCAAAATAAAACATCTTTGTACAGTAGTTTAAATTTATTTACCCCTTAAGTGTCTTATGTTTTTTCTAATTTACTACACTTAAACATCAGGACATCAAATCTATTTTAATATAAAATATTATGTCAAACGATTATTTCATTTAATAAGGGCAAAAAAAAAAAAAGAAAAAAAAAAACATACACAAATGAACTAACCTAAAGTTATAAATGCAGCAGCACAAAGAAGCACAATCAATGCTTTTGGAACAGAAAATATTTTTATTCTTTAAAAAAAAAAATAAAAAAAATGCACTTTTTTTTGTTTTCATATTCTTATTTCAATATGTAAACGGAGTACAATATAGACTAAAAATAGATTTTATCAAAATGCTTAAAAATGCTTACTAATTTAGTGCTTACCCCAAACACCAATAAACAAGATTGATCTACATTACTTTATTAACCCGACTGCATGCTCAGAGCTCAATACAATCTGACAATGCAAAACTTTCACACAGGCTCTACTTTCACAGAGTCCGTGTGAAAGTAGCTATAGATAGAAAAGTTGAACGGCACAAAACAAGTGACAAATACAGATATTTCCAGCATTTGGAAAATACCGACGTGCATAATTCTGTAGCGTTCGAAAACTAACACAAGTAGTTTGGTCCTATGTTACAAATAAACTTGAACATAAGAAAAGCATCAAAACAATAGAATTTTATGTCAACATCCAGCAAGAAGAAAAACATAAAAGGCAGCATCAGTGTCCCTTTAAGCCACAGCATTTCTACCCTGGCAGAAATGTTTTAAAATATATATGCGTTCTATAAAGGTGCAAGAACGTTGCCTAAAAATGATGGATCGGGCAATTTTTACCAAACAGGAGAGAGTGGACCGTTACGTGTTCAAGGTCAAGGAAAAATACAAACACGGCACAAAGAGGAATAAATAAAAATGATGTAAACTTTATTAAAAATGTATTTATTCCTGACTGAGCTTTTAAAAAGGAAGCAGATGCAGAAAAAAGGTAACAATAGATTTTTTTCTGTCTAGAATTAAAAAGGGAAAAAATGTGGATTGCATAAGGTAAATCTATCTGTGAAAATACATTTTGGCAGATATTATATTCTCACCATACATATTGCAAAATCCTTTAATAAACTAAATTCTAACGTTTTCTTTAGTTTGGCACTTTTAAAGTGGCAGTATTGTGTAAAAATAGACTTTTTTGAGCTTTACTTCATGCTATAATGTTATTCCCTCATTGGAAACATAACTGGGGTGCAGCTTTGATTCTTTCATGCATGTTTGAGAAATCCTTTAACCTCCGCTGGCAGCCGTTTGGGTTTGCAAAACGCTTGCTCACACCAAGTCACATCTTTACCTCTCAGCTCCTCCAAACTAGCGGCAGCAGCAATTAGCAAACACCTAGAAGAGCTGCGCATCTGCTGAGCTCATGGTATGAGCTACTTCTCAGTGCAACACACGTTGTTGTGATGACGTGCTGAAGGCGGAGTCTCGGAAAGGGCAAGGAGTTTCTTAAAGAAATAAAGCCTCAATTTTAAAGCATTATATTGTGATATTTTACATATACAGCCTTTTTATAACAACTGAAGGTGACATAGTTACTTGATGGTGCTAGAAAATGCCCCTATGTGCCTGTAAAATACATAATACTGCTTCTTTAAAACATGATTAATTTGGAGCAAATCTCGTCCTATGGAGATAAATTAGTGTAGTGTATGTCACTTGCAAATTACTCTTCTTTTTTGGGCTCCTCGATGAGCTTCCCCTTGTTGTACTTCTGTCCAATTCCATAAGGCACATGTGCAGATATGGTTCCCAGCTCATTGGCCCCCTCAATGTGGAACATCTGGTCGTCGAAGAAGATGTGAGGTCTGATTTTTTGCAACAGAGGGCCCTTGGGAGCCCCGGCCAGAAAGAGGGCCTCGTCGATCTCCAGGCCCCAGCTGCGGAGGGTCTTCAGGACTCGCGCGCCGGAGCTGGCTGCGCTGCGGGCTGTGACCAGGAAGGTTCTGATCGGGCAATTCAGACGCTCGTTCTTGGCATAAAATTTTCTCTGGAGCTTACCAAGGGCCTCCAGGAAGCACTTTAATGGACCCTGTGTGAAGCACAGAACCGGGTTAATGTCCCGTAAAATGAGTAGTGTGACAACATATGTATTAAAAAAGCTAAGAATTCATTCCTCTTAAACTTTTTTTTATATATATATATTAAAACCACAAACTTAAATTTTTATTGGGATTTTATAATGATGCCCAAACATGAAGTATTGATCAATTGTGAAGTGGCAGGAAAATTATATATTTTTTTTTTATTATTTTACAAACAAAATCTGAAAAGTGCTGCCTGCAACTGCATTCATACCCGATTCAATACTGTGATTTTTAAGTGTTCACAAAATTTTCAATTGGCTTTACGTCGGTCCTTTGACTGGGCCATTCTGACACATGAATATGGGAATATGGCCATATGTTTTTGTTTGTCCTACTTGAAGGTGCAGTTCAAACTTTAGCTCCATTAATCATCCCATCAACCATGACCTGTGTTGAAGTAAAAGATAAAAGTTACTGTTCTCATCAACTCCTTGCAATTTCTTTTATATGAGCACAGCTTAATTTCAATGGGTCTGTATTATTTGATTGAGTTGACCGTATATAAGATGGATCATTTTTTGGAAAGTGCATTCAGAGGACATTTGTAGTAAATCTGCACTACATAAATGAAATGAAATTAATTCAACTCCAAATTGTCATACTGGGTTTTATTCAAGGGCCTAACAAGTAAAAATGGGCTGAATACATATGCATGCAACACTTTTAGCATTTTTATTTGCAGAACCTTTGATTACCAGTGTATTAGTAGAAGGCGTCCCCTTCTTAATTATGTGCTACGTTGTCTCAGTATAAAATCTCAGTATAATCGAGGTTTGTTGTTGCAAAACCATTAAACCATGACAGGGTATGAACAGTTTTGCATGGTTCTCTACAGCAGGTTAGACAGGTTCACAACTCCAGGAGTTAAGAGTCTGACAAACCTGTATCTTCACATTCAGACTGGTTATAAATCTGTGTGCAAGTTCAGATATATATCACATTTCACTGATGAAGAGAGAAAATATGAGTAATGGAAGAAAAACCCTTAAAAGTTGAAGCTGCAACAAAAGTCATTTTAAAGCTATGTAGAAGAATTGAACACTGGGCTGGCATGTTGTGTGGAGTCATGGCGTTTGTGTTATTTTAAGAAGACGTGATCTCATTTTTGTCAGGCATCAGAGATGTTGCACGTAGACGACAGCGCCTTTTTACCTGAGCCAAAGGTTTGTTCTCAAACTTTTTCTCATGCTCAAAGAAAGTGTCGAGGCCATGCTTCTTCACAATGATCTCCGACTCGTCTGAGAAGAGGACGGCGTCACCATCAAACGCCACTCTCAGCTGAGTGTCGCTCAGATCGCTCTCCTGTCTTGACATAAACATGGTGGCTGCAGCAATCCCTTCAAGGAGGAAAGAAACGGTTAAAAAAGAATGATGACAAGTGGATGTTCTGTTCTTGGATTTCTGCCGCAGGCTAATGTCAGCCCTATATTTCATTATAAGATGTTTGAACTGACGCTCAACTTCAGGTTTCACCAACCACCTGAGTAGATTTCACCAAAAATAATAGTGACTCGCAAAAGCTTCCCTACCGCTTGAATGTTTGCACATTTTGCAATGTTATGATCACAAACTTCAGTGTGTCTTCTCGTTTTCTTTTCAGTTCCTGGTTCTTTGTGGTTATGCATCATTTTGGATAAAAGCAGCAAATCCTCACATTTAACGATTTGAAACTAGTAAATATACCCCATATTTGATAAAAGATATATTTTTATTAAGAATATGCAAATTAAAATTTTAGATTAGACAGGAGGAGCCATAAAGCTCAGCCTTTCTGTTAACCGACTTGCAGCTCTTTACAAATGCATACAAAGGCTGAGATAACAAATGGTTACTATGGAGATTTGATAATACCTATATGCTACACTTTGGTGCATGTTGCTGTGACATGAGGGGATTTCCCTCCCCCCTTATATAATATCTTGGTTTTTTGTGGACATCTTCATGAGAGGTGAAAATAATTATGGAGGGTAACGGTATTAAATAAATATTTAAAATAAAAGTTTGTGTGTTAAATGTTCTGGCTGTAATCAAAGGACATCTCCTCTTACCTTCCTCTATCGCTTCTGTAACTTTGTCTGCACTTTTTGAGAGGTAAAGGTTTGTCATGTAGGCCTTCAGGTAACCTATAGGACTTTTCCCTCCAGTCATACAGAATCTCTCTATGGTCAAACCTGAAAGAGCATCAAACACATTAGATATGCATGAAGAATGAAACCCCAGCTCTAACGAGTTCTCTTCTTGATTATGCCTGCTGATGTAGCGAGGCGTTGTAGAGCTGAACGATTAACAATGTTTGGTTAAGAAACGCAGCGTACCGTAGTGATTAATGCTGTTAATCAGGCGCACGCCGACTTGAGCGTGGTTGTTAGTCATCAAGACGATGTCAAACAGCTCCTCGCTGTCGGGGTAAAGGTTCCTAAGTCGAGTGTTGACATTCATGAGGGCCTGTAACACATATCCGACCTTCTTAACTCAAAGAAAAGAAAGGATATTGAGGCATTGTGTTACACATGAGGTAACAGCAGTATTACAAAAGGTTTGCCGTTCTTTCCCGTTTATATAAATTACACAATATATGCTCTGACTGTGGAAATAAATGACTTTAGTGGTCTTGGAATCACATATTTCCTATATGAGATAGGAATAATATGTTATGGAAGCAGAGCAAATGGATGGACAGATGGATGAGATTCAACTCAACTCATGTTCCACTTCTGGAAAACAAAATTAAGTCAGATTTTTTCATAATGCCACTGTCAAACCAATAAGTGACACCTGTTTCAATGTTGAACCTGCCTTAAAAGAGGAATTACAATTCAACTGACAAAAATAGAGGTAAAAAAAAGCCTTTATATATATATATATATATATATATATATATATATATATATATATATATATATATATATAGAGAGAGAGAGAGAGAGAGAGAGAGAGAGAGAGAAAGATGAATGTATTTATATTGTATGTATATATGTATTGTATTTATAATGTTTACTGATTCTTTAATAAAAAATAATATATATAAATATATATAATTAAATATTAAATAAACAAATATCTAT